AGAAAAGATAAAATATAAAAAGTTTTGTTATAAAATTTGTTTCAATGTAAAAAATTAAAAATTTAGGAAAAATATAAAGCGACTCGTAAGGAGTCTAAGAAAATAATTTGTGATGCTAAAAATTCTACGTGTAGGATCTTTATAAAAAAATTAAATACTAAAGAGGGTGAAAGTTATATGTATAAACTAACCAAATAAAGAGATTAGAAATGTAAATACTTAGTTCAAGTAAAGTGTATTAAAGAAATCAAAAAGTGTTTCTAAGATGATGATATCCAACATAGATGGGTGAAATATTTTGATAAAAATTTTAATGAAGATTTTGAAAATATGATCGATTTTAGTGATCTTAATATAGTTAATAATAATAAAACCTTTTCTTTTTACCATCATATTAACAAAACGGAAGCTAAGAGGAAGTTTAAAAAAAATGAAGGGTTGAAAATCAATAAGACCTGTTGGTATCCCAATAAAAGGATGGAAATATTTAAAGGATTTAGGAATTTTTTGCATTACCAAAAAAAGATGCTCGATTGGAGGAAGAATATTTTGTTTTTAAGAATAAATGAGATGTACAAGAGTGCGCTAATTATAGAGCAAATAAGTTAATGTGTCATACAATAAATTATGGGAGATAATAATCAAATAAAGGTTAAGACATGATACAAATGTTTCTCAATGTCAGTTTGGTTTTATGTCGGGCAAGCCTACTATGGAAGCTATACATTTATTGAGAAGTTTGATGGAGAAGTACAGAGAGCGTAAGGGGAATCTATATATGATTATTGTTGATTTAGAAAAAAACTTATGATAAGATACCAAGAGAAATACTTCGGAGAATTCTTGATATAACTTATATCCGAGTCATTAAAGAAATGTATGCTAGAGCGGTTACTTATGTTCAAATAGAATGATGATTGACCAAGTACTTTCCTATTTCAGTTGCATTACATCAAGAATTGACATTCAACCCATATCTTTTTGCCTTAGTTATTGGATATTCTTACTAGACATGTACAGAAGAATGTACAGTAGTGTATGTTTTCTGCTGATGATATGCTTCTGGTGAATTATACTAGAGAAAGAGTTCAGTAAAAACTCGAATTATAGAGGTCAACTCTAGAGTCTAAAGGTTTTCGTTTGAGTAAATCTAAAACTAAATACATGAAATGTAATTTTAGTAGTAGTAGATCTAACAGTATAGTTATAACAATGGGTAATTAAGTCATTAACAGGTGTGAACGTCAAAGTGAGGTTGATATGGATGAGAATTTTATTAGTAGAATTAAAGTTGGATGGTTGTAGTGGAGGAATGCATCGGGCATATTGTATGATTGGAAAGCACACAGCTTAGATTTAAAATTTTCTAAGATTGTGGTAAGACTTGCAATGCTTTATGGTGCAGAATGTTGGCCTATAAAAGAGAAACAAAAAAACTAAGTTTTGTTGAGATGAGTACTTATGTGAATGAGTGACTTTGCACTTAAAGATAAAATGCAAAATGAATATATCCGTGAAAGGGTTGGTGTAGCTCCAATAATAGACAAGATTAGAGAGAGTCATATTAGATGGTTTCGTCAAATTGAACATCGACCATCTAATGATTCTATTAGAAGAGTAGATGTTTTAGATTTGACTTCTGGTAAGAAAGCTAGAGGTAGACCTAAAGACTCGGGTAGGGTGTATAAAAAATGATCTTAATCTATTAGAATTATATGAAAATATGACACTCAACTGAACAAAATGGAGAAAAAAGATTGATGTAGCAGACCCCACTGAGTGGGATAAAGGATTTGTTGTTGAATTTGATGTGTTGAGATAAAATACACACTGATAACATAATATTTTTCAAATGGGTATTTGGGTAGAAAATTCTTTCTAGCAGCCCTTCAGTCTTCCAACTCTTCCTCCCATAACGTATACACTCCCTCTGACGTGACACCAAGAAATTACGAAGTGGCATACATTTTTTCTTCCTAATTAAAAGAGATGAATCTCCTGACACTTATGTCAACACGCTTGTTGACGATTAACCTTTTTTTTTATCATATTGACCGTATGATGGATGAGGAAAATAAAAAACAAAAAGCTAAATTACTCTCAACGTAATACCAATTTATAGCTCAGTAACAAAAACAGAGGTCAAACTCAATAAAATCAATTTGATATCTAGGTCCAATCTAGCACCTGAAGCCTTAATATATATTTCTAAAACATTGACCATCATGCAACATTTGGCATATACAGAATCATTTTCAGATGATGTTAAAAAAAATTAATTAAAAATCAAAAGAAATAACACTTTAAAAGAGAATGATGAATAAAATAATTAACGAGACATTGTAAATTGCTTCTGAAAAGTAATGTTAGATCAAACGAAAATGCATAAAAAGCTTTCAAGTCAGTGAGGTAATGTGATTCGGAGATTTGAAATGGTTTGAATAACAATACTTTCAAAGAAATTTTGATGGGTAGGGAATGCCAAATAATTAAAGAGATTGTATATGGCACCAATATATAAGATGCTTGTACCTTATGTGTGATATATGCACGTAATGAGAGACAATAAGAAAATTAGAGAAAAAAACATTGGTTTCATATAATCAATATGCTTTCATGCCAAAATATTTCTTTTAAATGCAATTTTTTTAGAAGCTTGAAGGAAAAAGTAAAACATAGAAATAATCTCCATATAATTTTTAGTGCCCTTGAAAAAGCAATTGCATTGAGAACCCATAAAAATTTCGTGGTGCTAAAAAAAATTGATGCATCAATCGTATGATGATGTTCTTAAATTACATTGAAGTTATCCCAGATATGGATGCTGAAGTAATAACTAGAGTTAAAAGTAACCTGTGATGACCGAAGAATTTGCAAATACTATGGAATGGCACAAGGATCATTTACATCCATACCTTTTATTACCAAGGTGTTTACAAAGAATACATAAATGTGGTGCAGTGGCAAATGCATTGAAGATGATATAGTTCTAATCAATCAGATATTTCCTGAAATATATGGGAAGTTAAACTAATGGAGAAAATTTTTAAAAGAAGTTAAAATCAGCAAAAAAAAATAAAATATGCTGGACAATTTTATTAGCGTGATGCAAGCAATTTTTATGGAAAAATATTAGAAGTTAAAATGGTACCAAAGTGTGTAGACTTGAGTATGTCAGATATATTACACAATGAATAAGATATATATGAGCTCTAGTTTCTAGAGTTAAGTCAGCGTCGGTCTAATAAAAATGTCCTTCTAGAGTATAATGCAATAAGAAAATACAAAAGAAACTTTCAGGTGATTTTTATAAACTTATATTTGTTATCCAAAACTTCTAGATTAGAGTACAGGGCAACAAAAAAATTATTGATAGCTAAATTGCGAGCTAGTGGAATAAAAATATTGAGATGATTGTGTAAAAAATTTCCGAAGGATAAATTAATAAATGATTATATCAGGAAAACGGTCTGATAAACTTGAAGTAGCTTAGAAAAGTACAATGAATTACTGATAAAGGATTGGATAAGAAAAGGTGGTAAACTTAAGCTAACATGTATAGCAATTGCCAAAAGAAACTTTCAGGTGATTTTTATAAACTTATATTTGTTATCCAAAACTTCTAGATTAGAGTACAGGGCAACAAAAAAATTATTGATAGCTAAATTGCGAGCTAGTGGAATAAAAATATTGAGATGATTGTGTAAAAAATTTCCGAAGGATAAATTAATAAATGATTATATCAGGAAAACGGTCTGATAAACTTGAAGTAGCTTAGAAAAGTACAATGAATTACTGATAAAGGATTGGATAAGAAAAGGTGGTAAACTTAAGCTAACATGTATAGCAATTGCTCAAAATGATCATCCAAAAATAAGTTTAACAGCTCATGCAACAATCAACATGAACAATAGGAAAATGAGGAATCATTAACCAACACCAAAAGAGCTGGGAAAGAGTTAAAGAATGTAATGGTTATAATGCTAAATAGAGAATGAAGATTAAGAAAGTCACAAATATATAGGATAAGCCTACAGATGGAATGATCGTTGTTGAAAAACTATACCAACCAAATGAACGTGAGTAAAATGAAAAGTAAACTTAAGTTGCATTCATTAATTTTGTTCGAATAAAAAATTTTAACGCTCAAAATTTGACACTGATGAAGCAGAAGTCAAAACAAATTTGCAGGTCAACGAGAGACTAGGGAATCGTCAAATAAAAAAATAAAAAATAAAAAAACCAAAGATAACCAAAATTTGTAATCCTGGTTACAGGCAATAAGAGTGCAAGTTCTTACCTGAAATACTGCGTGCCTAAAGTGCTCATAGGACTGTGCATACATCATAGCTGGAGTCGGCCATTGTACATAAACAGCACTAGGAGAAGCCTGACTACATCCAACAGCACCAAATACATTTAGGGTTGAAGGGTCGACTGGCCTGTAGCCCATCTGAGAGAAAGCTCCATCATAGCGCATTTGAGAAGGCTGAAGAACATTGTGAGCTCCAACGGGAAAGTTATTACAAGGTACAAATCCCCTAGTGTACCTGAAAAGCATTAAACCATTACAATTTATTTGATTGCAAGATGAAGTTTACCAGTGTTTAAAAAAACTGCAAAAACGAGTTGCCTGAGACCTATCATAACTTCTATCATAATCAGGATCGCTGCGGTCCTTTTCTCGGTCTCTGAAGATGGCAACTCTGGATGCAGCATCCTTTATGCCCATCCTTTCTAACTCTTCCGTTACATTTCTGTAGGTTTCCTTTTCATCTCCACTTGACGATGAACTTCTTCCATCAGCAGCAGCAACAAGATCATTATCAGCAATGAAAGAGCAATTGAATATGCGGGCCCGTGCTTTATCATAATCCTCTTTTCGTTTTTCCACAGTGCGAAAAATGATCCGGTTCCCTTGTCCCTCCATATCTCTCAGGGAAGCTTTGCTAGTTTTTGGCCTTATAACAATCTTAAATTGTCCTAATTGCTCATTTTCTGGCTGCTTGGTAGGAATATCTGATAAACAGATGGCAGGATATCTGCTTTCAGGAGTTTTCCTTACTACAATCCTGCTGCCTGAACCATCTGCAATATTCTCGACCACAGAAGTTTGCAGTCCATAGTGTTGAGCTACACGGTGAGCTGCACATCTGAGGTAAGAAGTAGGGAAGTGCTGGAATTCAAATTGGCATTGATCAGAATTCTGCATGAACCTCTGAATATCCAATTCCATCCGTAACACTACAATTAAAGATAAATCATCAGCTCCAGAAAATAAATAAATATATAAATAAATTTAAAAATCATAGCAAAAAGTGATAATACTATGCATCTATTACATATATTTCAGACTAGTATAATCTCCAAAGAATTGCATTAGAACAAAATTATCACACGCACATTTGCATTTTCTCTGATAATGCTATAGATAAACAATAAAAAATAAAAGTTAGCTTAAACCGTTCATCTAAAAAAATAAAATTAGAGATAAGTGGGAATGGAAATAGTTCATTTCATCATTAGAAGTTAGATGTGCACTAAAACCATTACATGAGGAATTTCAATTATAAAAAGGTCTGAATGAAATGAATCAGTGTCAAAGGAAAGGATAATGCCCGAAGAAAAAAATCAAACTTCAAAATATATTAAAGGTCACTTCAGTTCCAAGTAAGAAACTGTAATGATTCTTTTGAGGTAAAAGGAGTGCCAAAGTAGGTTTGCATAATAGCCAAGAGAATGTAATTACAAGATGTAAAGGAAGTCCTAATAATTTTTATTCTGTTTGTCAGTAAGGTTATGAAGGGAATTCTAAATAGGTCTGTACACATGTTTCTATTTTGAAAATTGTATATCCTATTAGTAACAGCCACAGGAAACACTTAAAATATAATTACAAGATCAAACACGGCTATTTTCGCCGTGATTTGTCCAGAACAAGCAGAGCCCAAATTAATCTTTTTGGAGATAAAATGCTCAATATGCAATCAAAGGCTAACCACAATTGTTCAAACAAGGGGCTGTCAATGCTCAGAACGAAGGAAATAAAAGGGAGTAACTTCCTAACTCAAAATTGTAGTGGGATGGTTTCTATGAGAGGTGTAAGCATCGAGAAAGCATGTTCTTCACTACATTTAGAATGCATGATCCTCCAATGCTAGGTGCACAGTGACAGAACAGACATTATATTCACATCAAAATGTTTCATTAGCATTTTGCTTCTATCTACATAAATATCATAACACAGACTGGATTGTGCAAGCTTGCACCCATATAACATTCTCTTCATTGTTTTTTAATAAAAAATATTCAATTAAAAAAAAACATGTTGCAGTGAACAAACCACCTCACTGAGGCAAAAAGATAAAATTAGCACAATGTCTAGTTCAGGATAATATTGCCACAATCCCATGGGAACATAGCATGAATACTATAATAAGAATAAAATGATACTTTATAGCTCAATTATTTAAGTAATAAAATGATTAAATAAAAAATTACAGGCATGTTGGCCCGTAAGCATGATTTTGTACCTTAATGAACTGTAGGCTTGATCTAAAAAAAATTAAGGCAACAAATTACTAATGCTGTAATGAATGACATTGGCTATAACTTCTATTTAATAGTATGATATCTAGAGACTTTGATCCACTTAGGTGTGTTAAGGATAAATATAACAAGAGCTAACTTAAAATGAAAAAATGAAAATGTATTTAACTCTATCCAAAGAACTACGAAAATGGAAAAAAAAAAATGGAAATGTCATTTAGTGTGGATAATGAAGAACTCTGTGTGGAGTTTGTGTGTGTGTGTCTCTCTCTCTAAACAAATGGCCAAATGGCACATCGTATGTTATTTGTACCGTATAAGGCTGGTATTGAGTCAAGCTCCAGTAAATTGACCTCAACTCAAAAGAGGGAAAAAATGTTTTTTAGTCGAACCAAGTTGAAATAATTTATATAGTTAAGTTGAGTTGATTCAAACCAAGCCTCATAATTAAAAAAATATTTTATAAAGTACTAAATGATTACATCTATGCATATAAGCTTGTATTATGTATGAAGAAATAATTATACTTGTACAACATATACTTATGGCACACATATAAATGTATAGAAGTATGAGAACAACAAGATCAACAAGCCTTCCCACTAAGCGGGGTGGGATACATGAATTTTTTTTCTTCATTGTGTCCTATTGAGTGTCATATATTAATTTAATTTTAATAAATTAAGATCATTTTTTTTAGAAATGCCCAACTTTTTCTAGGTTCGCCTCTACCTTTCTTAACATAAGTCAAATCTAAAACATCAACTTTCCTAACAGGGTCATCAGATGGTTGATGTTTAATGTGATAAGGCGACTCTATAATTTTGTCTGACATTGGAGCTACTCTAACCCTTTCAAGGAAATATTCATTTCGCACTTCATCTCTCAGTTTAAAACTACTCATCCACCCGAGCATTCTCGTCGCAACAATTATAGGCCAACATTCTGCACCATAAAGCATTGCAGGTCTCACCATCATCTTATGAATTTTTTCTTTAAGTCAAAGCGGTACCTTTCTATCACACAATAGACCTGATGCATTCCTCCACTTCAAGCATCCAACTTGAATTCTACTAATAACACCCCCATCTACATAACCATCACTTTGAGCAATAAACCCGAGGTATCTAAAACATTCACTCATTATAATAACTTTATCACACATTGTTACAACCACGCCACTGGATCTAATAATACTAAAATTACATTCCATATTTTCAATTTTAGATTTACTCAAATGAAAGCCTTTAAACTCTAATGTTGACCTCCATAATTCAAGTTTTTCCTGAACTCTCTCTGGTCTTATCCATAAGAAGATATCATTAGCGAAAATTTTACAATGAGGTACATCTTTCTGTAAATGTCCAGTAAGAGCATCCACAACTAAAACAAAATAATACGGGTTTCAATATGATCCAAACTGGAATAAAAAAAATACTTGACCAATCATCCTTGTGTTTGAACACAAGGAACAACTCTAATATACATATCTTTAATGACTTGAATATAAACAATATTATTATTTTTCTTTTCTAGAAATTTCCAATGTACTTCTTGAGGAACTTTATCATAAGCTTTTTCTAAATTAACAAAAATCATATGTAGGTCCTCCTTATTCTCTCTATATTTTCCCATCAAACCTCTCAATAAATGTATAGCTTCCATAGTAGACTTGCCCAGCATAATCCAAACTGATTTTGAGAAATTTTTGTATCACATTATGACCTTTGTTCAATTATTCTCTCCCATAACTAATGTATGATAAATTAACTTAATTCCTTTATAATTTGCGCTCTTGTACATCCACTTTATTATTAAAAATAGGAATAGAGTATTTTTTCAACTCATCAAGCATCTTTCTAGTTTTTAAAATAATATTAAAATTTTTAATAAGCTAAAAAATTCTCAGAACTAAACATTTCTATACTTCTATTAGAATACCATCAGGTCCTACTGCTGTCCCACACTTTATTTTCTTTAAAGCATCCTTAACTTATGTTTTAATAATACGGCGATGGAAATAAAAAATATATTTTTTTATTTTTTTACGATATAAAGATCACTAAAATCAATAATATTATCACAATCTTCATTAAAAAGTTCATCAAAATATCTCCCATAATTATATTGAAGATCTTCATCTAAAAAAAATAATTTTTGATTTTTATCTTTAATACACTTTTTACTTTTCTTATCTTTTCGTTTGGCTAGTTCATACATATATCTTTCACACTCTTTAGTATGCAATTTATTATAAAGATCATGAAAAATAAAATTCTTAACATCACAAATTATTTTTTTAGAATCCCTACAGGGCAACCTTAACTAAGAACATATAAATAAATGACAATGTTTACATGAATCAAGTCACTTTCAAATTGAATCAAACTTAGCCAAGTAATTGCCGGATCAAAGAAAATTGACTTTGACTAGTTAATTAAAATTCGAGTGAGCATCAAGCGAATCTCAAGTTCGAGACATAATTATCAACTCTAATGCCATGCATCAACAAGATAAACTAGAAGATAACATTTGATTTAAATAATTATAACTAACAATAGTTTAAATAAATTAGTTGACATAATGCATCAATTTCTATAATTTGAATGTAAAATTTCAATAATATGTGACGTGCATCAACAATATCTTTTAGTGAAAAAGGTTTGGATGAAAGTTTTAACAAACAATAGCTTAAACATTTTGGATCTATCATACAAGAGATTGGGAATATTGATTCTAGTGCAAATGTTACAAATTTAACATGGAGAAATGTCTAAATAGAATCATGTGATGGAAAGAGAAATGCTATAAAAGCATTATTAAATAAAAAATATCAACAACAACAAACCTTTATGCCACTAAATGGGGTCGGCTATATGAATCATTTTTCTCCAGTGAGTGCTATTGAGTGACAGATTTTCATTTAATTATAATAACTTAAGATTATTTTTTAGACAACATGCCCAACTCTTTTTAGGTTTACCTCTACCTTTCTTAGCATAAAACCACTCATCCTTCTGAGCATTTGCATCTTAGCAACACTTAACTAAATTTTATGCTTCTCTTTTACAGGTCAACATTTCGTGCAATAAAGTGTTGTAGGTCTCACCACTATCTTATAAAATTTTCCTTTTAAGTTTAAGGGAAACTTTTTTATCACACGAGTTATGATGCATTCCTCCACTTCAACCATCCAACTTGAATTCTACTAATAACATCACCATCTATTAAAAAAAATTATCATGAAAACTAAAACTATAAATTTTATAAAAAATGCAATTAAACTAGTATTTAAATGAATTTAAATATCATGAGTTCAAGAAACAACAAGAACAACAAAGTCTTAATCCCACTACGTGGGGTCCGCTACAAGAATCATTTTTCTCCATTGCGTCCTATTTAGTGTCATAGTTTCACTTAGTTCTAATAAATTAAGATCATTTTTTATACAATAAGCCCAATTCTTCCTAGGTTAAAATAAGTTTAATGTAATGAAAGAAAAATGTTGGAAATGGAACTAGAAAATATTGATTGAGGAGTAATTATGTTAAAGATTTGATGGAAGCAGTACCTATGAAAAATAAGAGAGTAAAACTAAACATTATGAAAACAAATGCAGCATTTAACAACCGGAGAAAATTTTTGAAAAGGGATTTGGCATTACAAATTTATGTTAAGTTGTTAACCCTATGAGC